CTGGTGAAAGGTTGTGTACAGTGCGAAGATCCGATTAAGGTTGTGCCGCTAGTCAAAAAAGGATCCGACATCAGCCGTATGAGTTTCATCTCGTACAAAGTCGGAATGGATCCCAAACTACGCGAAGCTGCTCTTAGATCGGATACATGGCCGAAAGGAATTTTGTTCCGTGAATTTGAAGACGGTTCAAAAAACATGTGGTTGCCTCGTTTGAACACGCCTACCATCACGATCTCTCCTATTACGGGACCTTCCGAGTTCTCAACTCCCATTTCCGGACTAGACCCAGTCTGCTGATTCAGAATTGGATTTTGCGTTGTGGATCGGAGCGCTGTAGACCAGAACGCAATGCCTGTCGCATTATGGGAGACCTCGAACCACTCGATCCAGTCGCGCTAGCTGTTTCCCGCCATCAAAGTCGTTCTATTTCCTGCCATCAGAGTCGTTCTGGCCCTGCGGTCGAGTTCGGTGGTGGGGTCTCCCAAGCATCGTCTTCAGGCAAGTATGCATACATTAGTTACAGTCATTTGCCTGATCAGTTTCCGTGTTCCAGTGCAACGCTTCAAGCACCTGCCGGCTGTTTCCAGTTGAGAAGCACTTCTGATACTGCTCATTCACAACATCCGCTTTACTGTTCGAACAATCCTAATTCATCTCCGGGACGCACAATAGACCGCTCTTTGGAAGCTCCTGGTTACTCCAGCCCAGTCGTGCCGATTCCCGCCAGCGTTCTGCATAGTCGTCCTGGACCTGTGGCTGGATATGAATCAGGAGTCTTCCACCTTGCCTCTACAAGCAAGTACAATCAATATATTAACTATTCACTGCCTGATGCCGATCAAATTTTCAGCAATTCTAACTATGTTAGTCATTGTGATGATGCCTCTGTAACTCCTAATCCTGGAAACCCGGAACGCGCCGTAGAAAGCCCCATGGAAGCCCCCAATCCCTCCGTCTCAGTCCTGCCATCAGCAGCCTTCGTTCATCATAGTCGTTCCGGACCTGCTGTCGGATGCGGAGAGGGGGTCTTCCAACCCACTCACTATGGCGAGTATCCAATGAGACTTGATGATGGTCAGTTATTGCCTGATGTATCTGTGATTTCCAGGGAGAGCAGTCGTTCGATTCCTTGCCGCAAGCAGGACGTCGTGATCTTCTACCAAAACGCCGGTGGAATGAATTCTGATGTTGAAGAATACCGCCTAGCTGTATCGGATCGTTGCTACGATATTATTGTCCTGTGCGAAACGTGGCTCGATTATCGAACGCTTTCCAGTCAAGTCTTCGGTCCTGACTACGAGGTCTTTCGTTGCGATCGGAATCCTAACAACAGCCGTAAATCTACTGGTGGAGGTGTCCTTGTAGCTGTCCGTAGCGGGTTGGAGGCAAAGGCCATCGAGAACGATTCATGGAACAATGTGGAGCAGGTTTGGACAGCCATTAATCTGGGTGATCGCACGCTATTTCTATGCGCTCTGTACATTCCACCTGATCGAGTCCGCGACAATGAACTCATCGATACTCACTGTCGGTCAGTTTTCACAGTTGTCGAAAGTTCCACTCCAGTTGATGAGATATTCATTTTTGGTGACTTCAATCTGCCAGGCGTTTCGTGGAGTCCATCTCATAGCGGATTCCTGTATCCAGATCCTGATAGATCTACATTTCACGCAGGAGCTATTAGCCTTCTCGACAACTACAGCGCAGCGACGCTTTCTCAAATTAACCATGTAGTTAATGAAAATGGTCGTAGTTTGGACCTCTGCTTCGTGAGCACACAGGACAGGGCTCCATCAATTTCCTCGGCTCCTTGTGCACTAACTAAGCTAGTTCCACATCACCCTCCTCTAATTGTCACTGTTGAGGACAAACTCGTGCGTGATTTTGGCGACTATACTGCTACGGTTTCTTATGACTTCCGTAAAGCTGACCACCGTAGCATCATAGATGTATTGTCTAGCATGGTATGGGAGAACATCCTTGATCCAGATGACGTTGAGGCTGCAGCGCAAACCTTTTCACATGTCTTGGCATATGTCATTGACAGACACGTCCCGAAAAGAACTCACCACAAAGTGTCTCACCCTCCCTGGCAAACGAGAGAGCTACGTAGGTTGAAGTCAATCAAGAGAGCAGCATTGAGAAGATTTACGAAGTATCGCACGCTTCCTCTGAAACTACATTATGTGAGGCTGAATCACATGTACCAGCGAGTCAGTCGTGAATGCTTTTCAAATTTCCAACGAGGCATCCAGCGCAAACTTAAGCTACACCCGAAATCCTTTTGGAACTACGTGAACGAGCAACGCAGGGAATCCGGCCTCCCATCGTCTATGGAATTCAACGGAGAAGTTGCTTCCACTGTTCAGGATATATGCCACCTTTTTTCCGAAAAGTTTTCCAGTGTATTCACTAATGAGACACTAACTGACGACCATATTAACCTGGCTGCCAGGAACGTTCCAGTAAACGATCAAACGCTGGGTGCAATTGATGTTAATGCAGAAATGATTTCTAAGGCCGCGACTCTGCTCAAGTCATCCTTCAATCCTGGACCTGATGGAGTTCCATCTGTATTTTTGAAGAGACATATTGCTAGCTTGTTAATTCCGCTTCTTCGCCTGTTCCGAATGTCTCTCTCAGGTGGCATATTTCCATCTTGCTGGAAATTTGCGCATATGTTTCCCGTCCACAAAAAAGGAAGGAAACGAGCTGTGGATAACTATCGAGGAATTACATCGTTAAGTGCCGTTTCGAAGCTATTCGAGCTAGTGATTATGGAACCGTTGCTGTCCCATTGCAAGCAGTTTTTGAGTGCTGATCAACATGGGTTTACTGTCGGCCGCTCTACAACTACCAATCTGCTGTGTCTCACATCGTATATAACCGAAAGCATGTCGGATCGGGTTCAAACGGACGTTATTTATTCAGACCTATCCGCAGCATTCGACAAGTTGAACCATGCTATTGCGATTGCTAAACTCGGCAGGCTCGGTGTATGCGGTAATCTTCTGAGTTGGTTTCGATCATATCTTACCGGTCGGCAACTAAAAGTTGCCATAGGAGATTGCAGATCAGCTAGCTTCTTCGCCACATCAGGTATACCTCAGGGAAGCCACATGGGACCGTTAATTTTTATACTGTACTTCAACGACGTGCATCTGGTCATCGAAGCTCCTCGGTTATCATATGCAGATGACCTCAAAATCTTCCTACGAATCTGCTCCATTGCTGACTGTCACTTTCTTCAACGTCAACTGAATGTATTCGCTAGTTGGTGCAGGTTAAACAGAATGGTAGTGAACCCAGCCAAATGCTCCGCTATTACGTTCTCACGAAAACAACAACCGATAATATTTAGCTATGACCTGCTTGGCTCGACAATCGAACGCGTGAATCAGGTGAAAGACTTGGGTGTGATCTTGGATTCGCAGCTTTCTTTCAAGCAACACATTGCATTAGTTGTTGATAAGGCGTCAAGAACTTTAGGGTTCATTTTTAGGATAGCTAAAAACTTCACTGATATCTACTGTCTAAAATCTCTCTATTGTTCGCTTGTTCGATCGACGCTTGAATATTGTTCAGCGGTTTGGAACCCAAACTACAACAACGGTGCCGAGAGAATTGAATCTGTTCAACGTCGCTTTCTTCGTTTTGCGTTGCGTAGATTGCCTTGGAACGATCCGTTTCGATTACCAAGCTACGAAAGCCGTTGTCAACTTATCGACCTAGAACTTCTCCGGACTAGAAGAGACACAAACAGAGCCCTTACCGTGGCCGATATCCTACAAGGAAGGACAGATTGTGAGGCTATCCTGAGGCAAATTGACCTGAATGTTCAACCCCGACCGCTTCGTAATAACCTTATGCTAAGACTGCCTCTACGTCGCACAAATTATGGAGCGTACGGTGCGATTTGCGGACTGCAGAGAACATTCAACAGAGTTGCATCTGTTTTCGACTTTCATCTTTCCCGTGATGCGCTTCGTCGAAAGTTTTCTTCTGTTTTTCGCCGGCAGGAGTTAAGATATTGACTATAAGATATACGTTTTTTAATGTTTTTTTATGTTATGACCATGCTTGAATGTAATTTTTTTTTTACCATAGTTGATAAGGTTTAAATCATTGGGGCTTCATCCAGCCTGTTGATGTAATTAAATAAATAACAAATAAATAACAGATAGCATCGTTTTGAAACGATTAGGCATATTGGCGTTTTTGTAACGGCGTCGTTTTGAAACGATTGGGGCAGTTTTCGCGGCAATGGCATCGCTTTGAAACGATTGAGGCACATTTGACGTTCTTTTGTAATAGCGTCGTTTTGAAACGATTGAGGCAGCTTTTTTCTAGGCATTGGCATCGCTTTGAAACCATTTACGCAGATTTGGCGTTTTTTTTTTTTTTTTTAATGGCGTCGTTTTGAAACGATTAAGGCAGGCTTGGTGGCTTTTTTTCTCGCGATGGCATCGTCTTGAGACGATAGGCAGAATCGGCGTTCTTTTTTTCTCTGCAATGTTCTTTTTGCAATGCGTGAGGGCTGCGGTTATTTTAATCTGCTCGCTATTAGCGTGGTTTCTTTCAGAAAGAAAACCAAATCAGCTAATGTATAGAAGATTTTGTACGGCTTATTTGAATCTCCTGGCAGGATCGCCAATGTGTGACTTACCTCGTTGAGAGATGGTCCGAAAGTGGGGAGTTGGGAGTTGTCCGTGCGTGTTCATTGAAGCGTTGCCATCGAGCTCGCCGTATAACGGCATTGAACTGTAACGGCGCTGACATCGACGAGCTGGACGCACGGCTTGCTGACTAGTTAAGCGTCAAGTTAAGACCCGCTTACACTAGCTCTAACATATGCCACACAGCACCGTCTTTCTAAAAACTCATTTACATGTCCAAAATAAAAATAAAACGAACCACGGTCTAAACTGTCTTTAGTCCCTAAAGTCTCCGTAAGCAAACCTTAACAGCCCTACAAAACTCCGTTACTATTTCCTCTTCAGGTTCTAGACCGCACAACACTGATGTTCGACCCGGACGAAGACGAGGACGAGTTCTTTTTCCATGGTATGAAGCAAACCCACCGAGACATGACAAAACGGGTGAAAAAGAAACTTACCATGGAGTACGACGATGTGTTCGACGGCGAAGCCAACAACGAGGATGTCTTTCGGGCCTGCACCAAACCGCTCGTGCAATCCGTTATGGACGGATACAACTGTTCAGTGTTTGTGTACGGGGCCACCGGAGCGGGGAAGACCTTCACAATGCTGGGAGGTGAAGAGTACCCGGGTATAACGTTCCTGACGATGAAAGAACTCTTCCGGCAGATTGATGGTTTGTTTATTATTATTTATTATCGAGATTTTAGCGTAGGTTTAACATTGTCCTTCACCTGATAGGTTTGACCAACGTCCGAAAGTTCGATATTGGAATATCGTATCTGGAAGTATACAACGAGCTCGTAATGAACCTGTTGACCAAAACCGGTCCATTGAAGCTCCGGGAGGACGCCAATGGGGTCGTGGTTAGTGGGTTGGTTCTGAAGCAGATCCACAACGCGGAAGAGCTGCTGGAACTTTTGGCGCTTGGAAATCGGAGCCGAACGCAACATCCTACGGATGCGAATGCAGAAAGTAGCCGTAGCCATGCAATCTTTCAGGTACACATTCGAATGGTTGACAAGGCTACGGGCCAAAAGAAAACCGTTAAACTTTCAATGATAGATCTAGCGGGAAGCGAACGAGCAGCAAGTACGAAAGGAATCGGCATTCGGTTCAAGGAAGGTGCCAACATCAACAAAAGTCTGCTAGCATTGGGCAACTGCATCAATAAGCTAGCCGATGGACTGAAACACATTCCCTACAGAGATTCAAACCTTACTCGTATCCTCAAGGACAGCCTTGGTGGTAATTGTCAAACGGTGATGATCGCAAACATTTCCCCGTCCTCGCTTACCTACGATGACACGTACAACACATTGAAGTATGCCTCCAGAGCGAAGAAGATCCGTACCACGCTGAAACAGAATATTGTTCCCTCCAACGTACCGAAGGAATACCTCGTCAAGAAGGTTAACGAACAAGCATTCGAGATTGATCGGTTGAAGGCAAGATTGAAGGATTTGGAAGAACAAAAAATTACCGTTGCAACGGCCGCTAAAGCCGCACCCGTTGGATTTGCCATGCCGAACGAGACACTGCTCAATACATGGCGTTCGAGGATCGACAATTGCTATGCCATCATGAGGAAAGCCCAGGAGCATTACTTCAATCTACAAAGCAAAGAAAAAACGCTAAATCTACGATCTAAGCTAAAGGAACAGGCGGAGATCATCAAGAGGATCGTAACACTGGACGGAAAGCACCTCAATGGGGTAAGTCTATTTCATTTTGATAGAAAGCATATTTTATTTGATCTTATCAAGAAGCAAATTTTATTGAACACGTGTAATCTATTGTACAACTTTCGACTATTTATCTCCCAACAATTCTGCTTGTTTAATTTCCATCATCTTTTCCGCTTCTTTAATGTACCCATTGGCAATGGCCGTTACTTGAGCTTGCACCTGGAAGCTCAAATCCTCGGAAATATTCGCCTGTTTCTTGACCTTCTTAATCGTTTGATTCTGCGCGTCCTTTACCGCGTCCCGACATTTGACGAACAACGTTTTGGCGTTCTTGACCAGTCCTTCACGGTGTTCTCGGGTTACCTTCGGCACCGGAATAAACAGTGTTGTTCCGTCTTGCTGAGGGTTAAGATTCATTCCACTTTTCTGGATCGCCTGCAGGACAGCTGGGATTGTTTGTGGAAACGATACCAGATTCACCACCACTGTTTTAGGATTCTTCCTAACGACCTGGGCGAGCTCCTGCAGTTGGTAGTCCTTTCCTTCATGTGTGACTTTCAATGTTTCGATAGCTCCGGTAGCCGAACGAAGGGACAGGTTTTTAATGTAATCCTCCTGCATCGTGCTGAGGGTTTTCTCCATCTGAGCTCGCAGACTCGCAACATCGATAACTTCGGCCAGCTGTTCTTCGTTGATAGTAACCTTAGCGGTGCCTTTATTTTCCTTTTTCCGGTCTTTGCTTTTAGCATAGTTGCGAACTTGCTGTTGCTGATGACACGCGATAGCCGAAAGTGGAAGCAGTTTCGGACTCACTGTTCTGGCAGCCGGCAATAGTTGCGGAACACCTTCAGTTGCCACAACAGGAAATGCGCGCAACAGGAATCGTAACTGACTTATTCTGATCATTTTGCGTAGACTGCGCAATCGTTCATGGGAAATCTGTTTGTTTTAACTTCGATTTATTGCGATCGAAAAAAATCAACACAAACTTTGGCTGACATAACAGTACAACATAACCTTTCTTTTGTTGTTGTTATCAAATTTAAATCCTTTCGTCAAGTTGGTGAAAGTTTCGTTAAAAGCTCTCCGAACATGGTCAGAACACGCTCGTTTGGTGCTACTCAAGAATGAGTGAACAACCACTCAATTTGATTAAAACTGGATCTGTACGCTATTTAAAAACTACCGTTATTTGGGTAGAATCCACCCAGAACGGTCAAAACTGATCTTACAAAATTAAAACATTTCACTTAAAGATCATTTTCAAGGATGATTTTTCGAAAGGACGTAAATATCTGGTTTTGTAAAAAAGATTCTTAGCTCTCCCATGCAAACTAACACCACTTTCTTGTTGGAGAAACATGATTCTCTATGTATATACCTATACACTGAGGCAACTGGACTAGCGAAATTCATTAAAATGCCTTATGTTTTTTAGCCACAAGAAATCAGTATGATTTCCAGTAGATTGCCTTATGAAACGAGCCAAAATCAATCAACTGAATGCACTATGTATTTCATACGACAGCCTTATGTAATTTGAAATTTTAAACTTTTAAAATGTACATATTCAGCTATATGAATTTCAAAATGACTGATTATAAAATTCAACATTTTTAAGATCGATCTCAATTTGAATAAACTCTATCCAAATTTGAATCTCCAAAGAATTAGATATCTTATTGCTTGTATTTCTATATGAATTCTATTTTTTAATTCATTATATACACCCAAATCTGGATTACATCCATGTATTGCATAAACCAAGGTTAATGACAATATCTAATCATCTGAAACTATAAAAATACATTTATAAATAAACAATATTCGATTGAACTTTTTATCTAGTAGCACAGCAAACAAGGAGTAGCAATTTCATACTTGTATGTTTTGTGGAAGCTGACATTTGTACCTTTGAATTTTCACTCTAAGGCTTCCTTGGAGAATCACCTTAAATTACATTTATTTACATTTCACAGTTTACTTAAAAATATAAAAATCAGAAACCTTTATTATTTCTGAAATAATATCTATTATTCACTTCATGAATGCCAAATGGTGATCCATCAATTTTGTCTAAATTAATCACTCTAAACGATTCAATCCTTTCTTCTGCCTCATGCTAATAGGTGCTCTTCAAAATTTCCAATCTTCCAGTTTCTACAAATTGCATACATTTGGTTTTGGTAGTGCTTGACGCCGGGTGCTCCGTTCAGAAAATCTGCAGTTCGTCTTCTACGATAGGCGCCATTTTTTGCTTTTGACTTTTTCGCACAAATGACAGCATTGAATTTCATAAGGCGCGTCAATGAAAATTCAATGTACGACGTAATCAAATCTTACGTTGTTGTAAAGTGAACCCTACACGATTGCTTTTATTGACAATAATCGTATTGTCAATACATGCTATATTGACGTCAATATATCGAGATTGACAATATTTCTGAATTAACATCATCAATATTATAGTCAATAATTCCCCTTCGCGTCAATATATTGATGCGTGTGGGGTTTGCTTAAAGATAATCAAAGGTAATTATGGAAAGCATAGTTGCCTTATGAATTCTAGATTTTGAATTTTTGTGCAGTTTCATAAGGCGGAACTTAAGAATTTTCCTAGTCTAGTTGTCTGAGTGTACAAATGAATTTCTGGGGGAGAGGTAGCTCATCGATTCTTCCGGTTCGCCTCCTAGCATCGTGCTATAAGGTACCAGGCGATAACCAGGGTAGTTGATCGATAGCTCGATGACGTCATTTCGTTGGCAATGGAAAATTCTCATAGCAGGCGTTGACGATGGGACGTTGTCGAGTTGTTGAATAGCAACTATCGTGGTAACTCACCGATTACCTGTCGATCTGCCAAATTTGGAAAGACGTCTGCATTGAATTGTCTCATATAATAATATTCCGCCCACTATATCACAAGAAATTGCGAGTAGCTGAGTGGAATGGAGATAAGTTAAGCATTGGGGGTACAGGACCAAGTCTCCCCTGGGTGGTGCCAAAAGATGAGCGCAATAGAATCATCAAGTTGCCATAAGGCACGGAATGAGACTATTGCATGGCTGGGTAGTCAAAGTCTTCCATTCGTTAGTCATTTCAGGTGGATTAGAACAGGTTTAGGTGGGCGTTGGCCAGATTTGGATTTTTCAGATGTAATCCTGGATAGGACCCTGTCATTGAACGTCGCGTGAAAGTGGAACTTAATGAAGGCCTAAGTACTTTTTCGTAGTTTTTAGTTTTCGGATTTGAAAGATCGTCGGTTACAGTGGCCTGCTTACTGAGCAGAAAAACGCGGTCCCAGGTCCTTACATATCAAAGAGATTTATGGTAAAATCGCTTGTGTATCGTGTATTTTGCGAAACTCGTTGTTGTCGTTGGTTCCGGGTTTGAATGGATACACAAATTTGAGCAACGGTATTATGTGATATGAGGGGCCCGGTGGCCTTAGAGCAACCGTTTTTGCTTACTGAGCAGAACATCATAAGTCTAATCTCAGGCCCATCCACATTCAAGATTCGTCAATCGGTTTATTTGTTAATATGACTACATGGTAATAACAGCAAACTCGGTGATTAAAAAGGTGCTCGTCTGCCTAGTGGCAAACGTTTTTGCTTACTGAGCACAAGACCGTGGGTTTAGTCCCAAACTCCTTCGCGTTATATGATCGTTAGGACATCAATTCAGCTTATCGTTTACCAAAACGAACCCTGCTGCAAACCCAACCCTCTTATCCAACATCCCAGTGATTCCTCGTGGAAGTGCAGAGGTGTTCTCGGCTTCCATCAAAGCGAGTGTCATGTCAACACAATCCTTCCCATTCCTTTCTTGACCTGTGTTCGGGCGCGGCCGGCGCTGGTATTGCCTAATTTAAGATCACCAGTTTTTACACATTGAGGATGATTGCTAGTCCCAAGCATCGTCTATTGGTTCTCTGTGTAATTACAGCTGATCTGGCAGTAACAGAGTAGCAACCGTGGACGGTCAATCAAGCTCAAGCTCTAGTTGTCTGAGTGTACAAATGAATTTCTGTCTGTCTGTCGGACCCCCACAGACTCACAGGGTTTTTGGGGCCGGGAAAGGTTCTTTTGATGGTTCGAGACCCCTCCCCTCTGTAAGGGGGAGGGAGGGGGGGTTGGTATATTCAATACAAATGAAACAGAAAAATATAGCATGTTTTTTTTTAATCGGCGCATAAACTCAAGCTAATATTGAATCCCAAGCAAGGCCGGGCACACGCAACTAGTAATGAATAAAAAATGTATTACCTACTACTTCTTCTCAGCCGTCATTTTGATTAAATATACCGTTATCAAGTTATGATTTCTCGCGTCACTTTTCAAATAGACCAATCTTGATCGATTCTCTTCATCGACTCTCTCTTTCGTTAATAACTTGGCTGCATTCATATTAAAGGGTTAATGTTTCTAAATAATCTGTTAAAAGAAAGTATTATTAAAGGCCCAAACGCAATGTGGGCGAAAGCGGAACGGAAACGGAAAGTTTGACAGTTGTCACAAATGACATCAATATGCCTAACCGAAGTCGATTTGATTCTAACTAGTTTGCATACCGACAAGTAGGCTTACTCAGATCGGGCTTTTCCGCTGCCGCTGTCGTTCCGCTTCCGCTGTCATTGCGCTTGGGCCTTAAGCGTATTGGACGATAAGAACAGCTGAACAAGTTTTTTGGGCCGTGCTGTAGATTGGACTATTTAAAAGGTGACGTGAGATTTATTTTAAATAAAACCCAGTTTTACATACGCCATTATAAAAAAATAGCCCAGATTTGTTTTTATTGAAAATGCCACCTTGGGTAGCAATTAACATAATGTGCTAAGTCGGGTGAATGACCGCCGGCGCCGGTTGTGTAGTGGTAAGCGTGACTGCTTTCTCACCCCAATGGGTCTAGGTTTAATCCCAGCCGAGGTCGGTGGGATTTTTCTGAGGCATAAAAATCTCTGGTCACGTCTAGGGGAGTAAAGCCGTTGGTCCCGCCCCATGTATGTGTGTTGAATGGGTGCGATATCCTACGCAGGTGTGGAAGCTGCCTTCCTTTGCACATTCGATTGCCGTCAATAGATGGCAATCGATGTCCGTTGGTGATTGGCACTAGATTGCGGAACAGAGACCGACGTTAAAAATGAATTAATGGGGTAATCCGGTTACTCTCTCTTCAAATCTGAAAGGGTCGGGTTGGAAGTGGATTTGTAAATATACTATAGTTAATTCAATACATTTTTTGTCACTCGTAACTTGTACGGGATGAGAATTGAATTCATGACCTTTAGCGTGAAAGTTACTTTCTGGTTTCACCTTAATATTTGAATGATTCTCTCCGGTTTTTGCTATAACGTTTTTCCATAACAGATTCGGTACTCTATCAAGAACACATAAGGAATTACCTGCAGAATATTCTGGAAATTCACTCTACATTTATCTTCGTATTCCTTGTTTGCTTTAATTTCGCTCGATAGTTTTTCTTAAAATTCCCTTAAAATATTCCCGAGAAATCTTTAGGTACTCCGTTTAGATTTTAGAAAGAAAATTTCCTTGGATTTCACCTCAGAATTGGATGTTTCTTTTTTTCTTCTTAGAATTCCCTTGAAATTACTACTTACTTATATTTACTTAGTTACTAAGCGATAAAACTTACGTTCATGTTCAATCCCTTATTACAACCACCAGCACTGATCAAACAAAGCTAAATCAATTTCTCACATGATTCAAATAGGAAATCACCCGTTTGGAGGCATCCATCGACCGGTACCACAAGCAAATCACTCGGCAAAAGGATGAAATGAGTCGATGGGCACAGCGGTACAAAGATGCGCTGAAGAATGTGGAAGCTCTTCGCGCCGAAGTAAGATCCTCGGATCTTTCCACTCTGCTCGGCTACTACGTACAGTCCAAGGACTACGAGATGGAATCAGCCAAGTCACACTACAAGAAAACTCACGTCATGAAAATCAACATGATCTACGCTGAAGAGAACAAACAGCAGGAAACGATCATAAAATTGAGCGCGGACATAGTCCAGCAAGACTATTTGCTACTTCGAAGCTTGGGTAGACTGGATAACGTTACGTTGGAAAAGATGGAACAGCTGGCCCGGCTGGATATTTACTCCCGTGGTGTCAAGTTCACCGACGATGGTGACCACTGCGAACTTCTGAGGGAGAGTAACATCACCGATAGCAGCGTCGATGAGATCAACGATTTGCCCGAATGTTCCGACCTGCCTGGAAACGGATTTGACTTTGAAAAGAATTCCGGCGTTAAGCGGATGATTGACGATGATGAATCCGAATCTGAGAACGAACGTAAACAACCTAAATATGAACAGAAACCGATCGAATTCAAGAAACCGAAAGCGCTAAGGCCGCTCAATTTCCAACCGAAAAGTTTAAGTGTCAAGTCTACGGTCAGCAGGAAAACACCTACGAAAACTCAAAAAACGGCTACCATCGCGCAATTTAAGGTTCCCAATCTTATCGTGAGCAATCCCAAAAAGAGTTTGAAGCTGGCAACTGGGTTTACCTCTTCAACTGACACCAGCGATACTTCTGATGGACCCGAGGAAGACGGCGGAGTTGTGAATAGCACCTTCCGTATTGATCCAAACATCAACGACTCTGCCAGTTCCTTATTTTCGAACGTGCTGGTTGACAGTAATGTCAACCCCCGTGTGCTGAGTAAAGGTAAAGGTATGACATTTTGGAAACGAATGACTCCTATCCATATTAACGTTATTCTATCCATTCCAACAGTGCTGCGGAGGGCTTCTATGAAAGGGAATGTAATTTCCAAAGTGACGTTAACGCTCAACAAAGAAAACCGTAAATTCAGTCCCAAAAGGGTAGGAAAAAGCCCACGGCCACATATGCGAACCAACAATCGATGTAAGTTGTTTTCATCTGTTACCCAAATAATTATCTATTATCTGTATTAATTTTCACACTCTACAATATACAGCTCATACCACGGCAGCCAGTGTGATAAACCGGTATCGAATTATGAAAGCGAATTCAGCTTCCGGGAGCTCCTCGTCGGCGGGACGTCCCGCAGTGCCAGGAACATCCGCTGAAACCGCGAGGAATGCTTATGAAAGTGACAGGGAACGAAAACTTCGGAATCTAAGGAAGTGATAGGTTGTACAACCACAACGGGAAAGTGAGTGAACAAGGGAGTTGTGTGTGTCATTTTTTCTTTGGTAATTCGTAAATGTACTGGTAGAGTTTTTAAACTTTCACGTTATTTTTGTTATGCACTTTTATCTTGCCCATTTGGACTCGTTGATCGCATTCATCTATATTCTGTATTTTTTTTTATTTTGGCTATAAACATACTAAACGGTAAACATTTTTTTTAGAGGAACATTTTAAACATCGATTGGTGTATAATAGAGCTGAATAGTAAATAATTTTAAAAATGTATACCTACAATGCTTCGAGAATTAATAAACAAGACGTTAACATGCATTACAAAATTATGTATATATTGGCAACTTATTCAAAGATAGAAGAATCTATTTATAACCTTAGCTTTCTTTTGAAAATAAAATGAAATTGTAGAATAGTACATATGGGTTACAATTGAAAACTAATCCGAAAGATCCCTTTATCAAACTGACATAGAATCTCATCAACCTATCAAGAAGACTGGCAACTTCGAACATCAAACAATAAGCGAATAAAGACCAACCTTACTCAACGCAGAAAGGTGTATGTTTATGTTTGCAGCCAAAGAGTTTTTAAACATTTTGGCATGAAATTCCTTGTATGACATGAAAATCAAAAACAAAATCCATTCAAATCTAAACAAGCCCAAAATACGCACTGTAGAGGTTGCCTTATACAATAATAATTGATATTGGTAGTTAAATGTCCTGTTTTAGCTTCTAAATGAGAAAACGTGATTGCGGTCAGTCTACTTGATATGTTGTCTTCGGCACAATTTGTATTAAATATATCTCTTCCCTTTGTGAACACTATCATACAACTTCTCAAGCTCGTTGAGAAACTCCTCATCGATTACACGAGAATATTGTGGTGTGTCATCACGAGCCCTTACAACCGGCAGTTTCAACTTATCCACAACACCTAGCACTGCGTTGATCAAACTTATCATAAACGATAATGTTGCCACTAAAATTAGCGGATTCAAAAGATGCCATCCTGCCAAATGGTGTCCACTGCCGTGTGAATGTCCATTCGCAACACCACTATGCTGATTAGGACCAAGTCCTCCGGTTCCGAAATATCCACCCCCAGCGCCAGTTAATCCATTGGTCCATGTTCCAGAACCACCATTTCCTCCAAGATCACCGCCACCATGATGCCAATCTCCGTAACTATCGTAGTAATATCCCGATCGTAAATCGTCGTTGCTATCCTGAAGTGGTCTCCGGACGTTCCCTCGGTGGCCATCGTCCACGGATAACTGATCCTTTGCTTCGTATCCCATAACTAGTTTCTTCGGAAGTAAATCCTGATCAGCAATTTTCCTTTTCTTCAAACCTTTACCAAACACTTTCTTGATCCATCGCCGATCACCACGCACATCGTCAGCTTTATCAGATTGATTCACGTTCGGCTTGGTAATGAAGTTTTCACTCCCGTTGAACCTCGACCGATACTGAGACACGCCAACCAGCTGATAACGGCGCCGATCCTTCTCGTTGGCTGATTGTTGGCCCTCTTCCTGCTGATGATGATCCAGTAGCAGCGGCGATTCAATTTGATATTCATCGGCTCCCGGGAGAATACGGCCCGAATCCGGTACGACCGGATCATCATTCACGGGTGCAGAATGGTAGTTGGTCGAAAGGTTCACTATAACACTGGGCAGCAGGCCCAACACGAACAGAATAACCCGACAATCACTGACGTAGCGGAACATGCTTATGCTTGGAACTGACGAGGATCGTAGAATGGTACCGGCTTTTATACGTATGAGATGTTAGGGCTGCTACCAAGTTAGGTTGCATTCAAAAGATTGCCAAGTTCAAGGGTTGGTGCACATGTCAGTCAGTTTGTCCGGGTCGGTGAAATGTACCCTTTTGTGAAAGGAAACAATGAAATGCCAGTGATAGTCATGGATTAACCAGAAAGTGAAATTCTTTCAAATGCTCGAAAACGTCTACTGTTCGTTAACATAATTCACATTTATTGGGATTACTTTTACAATATTTCTTTGTATATAGTTTCTGTCGAATATGTTAAATCATGGTTTCACGATATTCACTAAATAGTAGTTTGCTCTCCACATTACTCTTACTAAAAAGACTCCCTAAAAACCTATTGACCTATGAAAACTGAGGAATAATAATGAACATTTTGTTACGGATCAACCGCATCCGGATTGACTTGAGGGTCAAAAATGTGAAATGAATGAAAACTACGGCAATGGATCGTTCGATCCATCAACACTTGCTATCGCAGTTAAAATCTTCAGAGGGATCCTAATTCAAAATGAACGCTTCCTACAAAATGCGATGGGTATAATCAATGATTTGTTCTGATTCAATGGGAACGCCTTTATTTACGTTCATTACTTCTATTACTCTTTGTAAAATAAATACATTTTAGTCTCGGTCTAAGAAGAATCGAATGGGGCATGAATGGCATTCTGATGGCGCGGTTTACTCCTTGTTCGCACTTTCGTTACTTTCCGTGGACTTTCGCTCTTCGCTGCCGACGGAGCTGTTCGCCGAGCTGTCCTTCTTGGCATTGCTGCTGTTGCTGTTGGCGTTGTTGTTGTTGGCCGTACTGGCCATATCTAACGATTGGATTTGTGCTTCGTGCACAAGTTGCATAATCTTCAGGGACGTGACCGATCCCAACCGTTCGGGGAGCTTTCGTAGGATTTCCCCGACATAGAGCCCGAAGGCACCGTGCTCGTCCAGATTAACCGAATGGTCCATGTTGTTCTGGTACTTGACGGTGCGGTTGAGGTTGTAGTTGGAAACGGATACCGCTTCGTCCATGTCGAAGTTGAGCCGCTGTCGCTTTGGTACATTGTAGGACGCTTCCACGTTGGATGCCGGTATGGGCGATTCAGCTGGAGTGGGCTGTGAAAGATTGGGCCGCATGGCCTGGACGCTCAAAGGATTTGGCCCCAGCTGACCGGGATGGTGACCATCGCCGCGATGCCCATGGTGATTCGCACCGGGATGTACTCCAGGTTGACCCGGTCCATGTTGCGACTGCAGGTGATGCATACCCATGTCCTGCCCCGGATGGTAGCCTTGGTGCTGTGCGTGAGGATATTGCTGCTGGAGTTTGGCTTGCTGGACTTGGTAGTGCAGCTGTGCCTGAGGATTCTGAGCGGCAGCCATCTGCTGTAGGTCGAGGTACGCGTGGAGATCATCTTTGGCGTCCTCCATCTGACGCTTGCGGAGAGCGGCCAACGGGTTAGATTCGTCATCTCTGGAAGAAACAAGAAAAAAACGGAGGAGAGAATTTTTATCAATTGCTAATCGAAAGTGCTTTAAACATACATTTCCTATATGGCAGAAAACCTTATTAAAAAAAAACACAGTATCTCTGAAACACGCACCAAACGAAAGCTTAGGTTCGCAAGCCACTGATGTCTTATGATTAAGCTCAATCAACTGTTCAGCAGGCAACATTGCATTGGTGTTTCTGGCGCGTATAATAGAGCACCAAAATCATGGCTACTATGGCACACTGCTGCAGTAGTACATAGTGTTGCTTACAAAACAGCTTCTTGATCATGCCATAAGATTAACAATCTGTTGAGTTCAAATTTTGGGAGGCTAATCAGGACCCGATTTGGGACCATTTGAGCACTGTGGAGCGAAAATGTCAAATTTTGCATCAGTCTCAGAGCTGCCAGGTGGTTTTATAAAAAATCTGTATCCACTCTATTAAAAAATCTGTATTTTCTGTATTGACGATTTTTTTCTTAATTAATCATGTTTTGTTGTTTTACAAATACAGTGCATACAAAATAACCATAAAAAGTGCTTAACCACCTATTCGGGCTATCGTACTAACCATACGGGATATAATTGCGCCATTTGTGATATCGTCCGTACTTATTTATAAGAGTGATATGAAGCCGTTTGAAAATGTATGGAGATTTTAGTTTCTATTCATTATCTTCCTGATAAGCAGTTTTAAATGTAAAAAAGTGCACGAGTTCATTACTATTTGATATTTTTAATATAGATGAATACGATTAATTACATCATTTGTGTGGTAGTTACACCGAAAAGTCGAGAGATGTCGCCCCGCCAGTGCTGGTAAAATCATTTTTGCAATATGGAGAATATCAGAACATCCGCAATTTCTTACGAAATACATTTTCAATGCAAGTAAAATGTTTACGAGTACTTGTATTTGTACCATTTTAATGTGCTCGGGCACTTTTCTTGTATTTAACATACATGCTTATATTGAAAATATTCAATTAATACTGTAAATCCCCATACAATCTCAAATCGTTTACTACCAGCTCCATATGCATCCGAAAGCGGTTGGTCCTCTGTCCTCTTAATTTTGGAGAGAAGGGGGTACGCTGATAAAATCGAGCAAGTTATTTTGTTTTTATAAATTTTGAATTTTTTTTTCTCAAGCATTTTATAAAAATCTGTATAAATCTGTATTGTAATTTAAAAATCTGTGATAAATCTGTATTCTGTATCAGGTCTGTATTAAGATTAAAAAATTTGTATAATACAGATAAATCTGTATAAATGGCAGCGCTGATCAGTCTAGTCCTGTGCGCCTCCACCCCGCGCCGCCGCTGCCGACACTTTTTCACACGCCGCCGCCGCCAACGATTTTGAGTCGGCGCGCCGCCGTTATGGTTTTGGATACGCCGTCAATGTAATATTTTTTATACTTTTAAATTTTGAAAGACGCTTGCCTAATAAAACACAAACCAGGTCAAAGTTAAAAAAAAATTAAAGGGTTGTGTCCTAGACACGACCGCAGTATGACCATAGAGGTAACTCTAAGACAAGTAGGTCCCGAAGAAATGTGCTCAACTTTTTGGCTCACCTCTGGTACTATCTTCGGTCCCAAGCTTGTCGAATCACCCCTCGAAACTTAGGAAAAACAAATAACCCCTCATTTTATCTGTCAAACTTTCATAGCGAATCAAAACAAACATTGCGTAGTAGTAGAATTTCGACTAGAATAGGGTACGTTAATCGTTTGCTTGGGACCAATAGGCTACTAAAGTGGTGAGCCAATTTCAAATCGTTAGTTTCATATTGATTGTTGGTATGACGTAGAACCAGCTTCTCCATCTATTTTGCACCATATATGCATTTAGGTTAACATCCGACGTCCCTTCTTTTTTACATATTTTGCACAAAAAATACATCCGAAGTCCCTCCTTTTTTACATATTCTGCACAATACATACTTTCAAAGCCCCGCAACTGACAGGATTTCCCGCCATTTTTTATGAATGGGGCGGGGCAGAAAGTTTCTTTTGTGCAGAATATGTAAAAATGAATGGACTTTGGATAAAACATAATCTAAATGAATATATAGAGGTACCAGATATGTTTTGCAGTCAGTTGTGTGTAATTCACCAGCATAATATCATCGTATATGAATTGCATTTTTTTTTCTGAAATTTGAAAGTTTTGGTGCGGACTATTGTTTATACATATTAATAATTGTGGTTTTGCTTAAAATTTATTTCCCGGAAAAAGTGATCGTCAAACACCATGTCCTTTTCCGGGTTGTTGTTATTAAGGAGGGAGGGGGGAGATGTTGTTAAGGGGGGGGGGGTGGTGTACATCCATATTTTCCAATTTGGTGTTCACGCCGTGATCCACCTTTTTATCCGCTTGCTGCAGGACCAAGTGGGCAGAGGCACGACAGCAGCGCTGTTTTATATCTTTTCAGGTTCAAGCAGGATGATGTGCAACCAATTGGTATTCGTTTATGATGACTGGGTTTGGGGAAAACGTTTAGTTCATGAAAACAGCGATAAAATTAGCATTTGTGCATTTTTCAAAAGTTTTTTGATTTAAAATTTAAAAAGTTTTTATTTTAGCAGATTTGTTAAGGAATATCCTATCGATGGGTGTATTTGGATTTTAATTTCATCTATAAATGACAAAGTTACAAGCGTTCCAAACCTAACATTACTTCACCACACATATTTTTTTGATTTGCACCCCAGTATAGTCGACAAAGACGTAGTTCTACGTCAAAAAAAAAAACAATTCCACGGACTCCCGGTAAGCTAACACACCGTGCAAGTTATTGCTCAAACGAACTCAGAATCAAAACAAAACAGCAAATAAGGCTATCATAAACTTCCATTTCTGAATGTCATACGATTACTAGTGCCGGCGCCGGTTGTGTAGTGGTAAGCGTGACTGCTTTCTCACCCCAATGGGTCTAGGTTTAATCCCAGCCGAGGTCGGTGGGATTTTTCTGAGGCATAAAAATCTCTGGTCACGTCTAGGGGACTAAAGCCGTTGGTCCCGCCCCATGTATGTGTGTTGAATGGGTGCGATATCCTACGCAGGTGTGGAAGCTGCCTTCCGGCACATCCGGTTGCCGTCAATGGATGGCAATCGATGTCCGTCGGTGATTGGCACTAGATTGCGGAACAGAGACCGACGTTAAATAAAGGAAAGAAGAAGAAGGAGGATTACTAGTAGACCTGTGCGCCACCGCGCCACGCCGCCGCCGCAGTAAAATCATAGAGGTAACTCTAAGACAAGAAGGTCCCGAAGAAACGAGCTCAACTTTTTGGCTCAGCTCTGGTACTCTCTTCGGTCCCAAGCTTATCGATTCACCCCTCGAAACATGGGAAAATCCACTAACCCCTCATTTTATCTGTCAAACTTTCATAGCGAATCAAAACAAACATTGTGTAGTAGTAAAATTTCGACTAGAATGGGGTACTTTAATCGTTTGCTGGGACCAATAGGCTAGTCAAGTAGTGAGCCAATTTAAAATCGTTAGTTTCGTATTGAATGTTGGTAAAATGGTTCACGCCGATGAAAAATCCGTAACATCTTATCTTGAAATTAGAACTTGTTTGCACGCTCATTCGTGGTTACTCAAAATTGAGTGAAAAACTACTCAATTGAATTAAAACCAGATCTACTCTTAATTGAGTAACATAGTCAGAACTGAATTTTGAGTGAAACGGCTAGGTAATTGTTGATGAGTTATTTCCACTCATTCCCATAAAATCCAACATATAGAAAAATGAGTCAAAAATACACAAATGGGCAATCATTTCGTTTCCTTTCTTTTTTTTCTTTAAGATTAATAAACCAAAAACTGAAAGAAAAAAATAAATTTTAATCAAGCATTTTTATTTTATAGCAAACAGAATGCAAAACAATTACCTCTCAATTGCGGTACGTTTCCGCATCCACGGAGGCTGTAATTTGCTCCATTTTCGAATGATTTCTTTCGAAATTTTAAACTTTTTTTCTACGACGGAAAGGCAAACTTCATATTTTTTCATTATCACAACGTCACTTTATTTTATTTTTTGAGTCAATAAATGGGCTGAAACTCAAAATTGAGATTCACCTTTATTGATTTATTGTTCAGTCAATGTTACTCAAATTAACAAATCACAACTACAGGGCTGTTACAAGATTTTCTAAATTTGATCCGCGAAATCCACGATTTCTCAAAAGAAATCCGCGACTTCAAATACTAATCCGCGTCAAAAAAAACTGTTTTCATAGCCTATTGTATACTACTACATGGCATTTCAAGCTTATTGCTTATAGCATATTAGATTTTTGCCTTAGTGTTCTTTGAAGTACTTTCACATTTTAATTGAGAGCTTTCTATGCCTGTACCACCCTACGCCCAAGGAAGTAGAGAAATTTTCCAACACGAAAAATTAATAGACCGGACGGGAATAGAACTCAGTCGCCTCCAGCATGGACTTGCTTTGTAGCTGCACCTTTACCGACTGAGCTAAAGGAGTATCGTGTGTAACCTTTGAATTTAAAAAAAAAATAATAACATTGATGATACAATGTTAGTTAGTTATTTATGTATAGTATAAATTCTGAGTAATTAGTGAACATAATAAAACACCCTTGCATCCTGAGGTTCTATCGAATAATACCGGCATAGATTTGACAAAACATTATTAAAGAAAATTAATGCATTTTCATTTGAAATGAAATTTTTTTTTTGAAAATTAATCAGAGACGTATTTTGCTGTCCTAAATGTTGTAGTTAATTTAGCTCTAGTTTTCTCAATTTTTTACCGATTCAAACCAAACACCCTGCACATAATCGAAAAATTACCAAAGTTTCATAAATCACGCTTGTTGGTCACGTCGCGGTTGTGTATTTACACGGATATTCCTTGGGTTCTGCCCAATGGTATTTCATGATATTTTTTTTTATTTCTAATATGAACCTAGCACTTTTCGTTGTCAAATCATAACCGAA